CCTGGGGTCATGTAACCTGATTTGCCTTTTGCAACCGTGTGACAAGCAAAGTCACTGGGACCATCCAGGCCAAAAACGGGGCTGGAGAGGGCTTCAGGAGGCTGTCTAGGCCAAAAATGGGGCTGACAGAGGGCTTCAGGAAGCCGTCTAGGCCAAAAATGGGGCTGGCAGAGGACTTCAGGAGGCCATCCAGGCTGAAAACGGGGCTGGCAGAGGGTTTCAGGAGGACCTCTAGGCTGAAAATGGGGCTGGCAGGAAGCAATCTAGGCCAAAAATGGGGCCCAGGGGGTCTGTATGCAGCCACCATGGCCTCCATTTTCACTGGCAGAGAGGGCTTCAGGAGGCTGTTCAGACCACAAACAGGGCTGGGAGAGAGTGTCAGGAGGCTGTCCAGGCTGAAAATGGGGCTGGCAGAGGGCTTCAGGAAGCCATCTGTTGTGGTCCACTAGGGGCCTGCGGAGCTGGCAGCAGAGTGGGACAGTTTGGAGGAACATGGGCCAGTCCTAGAATCTGGGAAGGGCCCGCATGAGGGATCTGTGTCTGACACAGAGATGGGGCCAGGGCCATCTGAGAGTTATGTACTGACTCTGGAGCCTTCAGTAGCTGACTTCAGTGAGGCAGAGGAACAGGGGGAGCAGGGGGAGCTGCCAGAAGGCAAGAACAGTTAAGACAAAAGAGGTAACTCGGGAGGTTTGGAGATGATTGGCCCCTCCCATAAGACATAAAGGAAGAGCAAAGGGACATGAGCCTTTGCAGGAAGCAACTTTGTTAGTTCTGAAGCTCCATGTTAACTTTGTGCTCCTAAATTGCTAATTGGCAATTTAGTCGTTGGCAGCATTTCAAGGAAGATAAAGGTGGGTGCTTATCAGCCTTATTCCAAAAGACTGTGGCAGACTTCTGTTGGACTACTCATAAACTGTTTGGGACTCATTATGGGCTGTGAATGCATATAATTCACAGCTGTTGAAATTTTAAAAAAGGGTTTTTGGGAACAGCGTGTGATTGTTACTGTCTTAGGAAGCCTTGGTCAGAACAGCCATCTAGGCAGAAAATAGGGCTTGCCGAGGGCTTCAGGAGGCCATCCAGGCTGAAAATGAATCCCCCGACTTGGGCCACCACAGGTGCTCCTGACACGAGTGATGTTGAGCTAGCCACGCCCACCTCAGCCATGCCCCCCCACCCCCCTCAAGGTTAAACACAACCTTGATGTGGCCCTAAATGAAATCAAGTTTGAAACCCCTGATGTAGAACTTTGTGGAATCCCAGGAGATATTGCAGACTACACAGAAAGCTTTATGAGCAGAAAAAAGTGCTCAGTCAAATATAAACTGTGAAGTATTTTTTCTTTAAGCCTGATATTGTTATTACAAAGAGATTAAGATAAATTGTTTAAGAAGGTAATATCTATTATGATTAGATACCCTGTGTTCTGGGACAGATTTACCATTTGAATATTCATTTTTCTGCTCTGAATAAAATTATCTCAGAAATAGTCCTAAGCCCTGACATGGATTTTGAAAAATTGCATATGATTGTGGGTAGCAAGGAAATTGCATGTACCTAAAGCAAATACAAGCATAGCTCAGGTGAAGATGGTATAAAATTTATTCATATCCTCTTACCAAATGCTTTCTCACTGGATTCATTTTAAAGCCCATAATTTTATTTTATCAAATACTTATAGCAATTGAAGAGTAGACTTGAATACAAAACATTTGTGATTAGTGCAAGGCATATACTTATATTTTTGAGATAGCAACAATAGGTTGTCTAAATTAGATGAAAAAAGCTGCAAATTTAGTCCACATAAGGGAAAATCAATGGCATGAGATTTAGAAAAGCTATCCGTTCAAGAATTCAGTAAGCAAATATATACAGTCTTAGACATTTAAGTACAAATTCTTTGACAGTGTCCAAAGAATATGCAAACATACATATTTCATTTGGCCCATTGCAACAAAGTGCAAATACTCATTTACAAATTAACAGATTAACAGAGTTGGAAGGGACCTTGTAGGTCATCTAGTCCTACCCCGTCCAAGCAGGAGGCCCTACCTCATTTCTGACAAATGGCAGTGCAATCTCTTCTTGAAAGACTCCAGTGATTAAGCTCCCACAACTTCAAAAGGCAAGCTGTTCCATCGGTTGATTGTTCTCACTGTCAGAAAATTTCTCCTTATTTCTAGGTTGAATCTCTCCTTGATCAATCTCAATCCATTCTTCCTTGTCTGGCCTTCAGGTGCCTTGGAAAACAGCTTGATACCTACCTCACTGTGGCAGCTCCACAGATATTGGAACACTGCTATCATGTCTCCCCTGGTCCTTCTCTTCACTAGACCAGTCATGCCCAGTTCCTGTAACTGTTCTTCATATGTTTTAGTCTCCAGTACCCTAGTCATCCTGGCTGCTCTTCTCTGCACTTTTTCTAAAGCCCTAACACCTTTTTTATAGTGTGGTGACCAACACTGGATGCAGCATATCTTGATTGTATCCCTCTGTTAATGCTACTTAGGATTGTGTTGGCTTTTTTGGCTGCCACTGCACATTGCTGGCTCATATTTAGCTGGTTGTCCACTAAGACTTCAAGATCCCTCTCACAGTTACTGCTGTTAAGCCTGGTTTCACCAAATCTATATGTGTACTTTTGGTTTTTCTTCTCTAAATTAAGGATGATAAAACAGAAATAATATCTCAATGAGTTTGCAAAATATTTTACCACATTGGAATGCAATACTTACATGTACATAGGAATATAATAATTAAATTCAAATGATTAACACCAGAAAGACAAAACAAAATTATTAAGCAAGAAAATATCAAGAAAATACCTGTCTGATGTTGCTGAATATAAATTACCAGGAACTAACAGATTACATCTCAAAGTACTAAAGTAGCTAGCAGATGACTACAGACCAATCAGCCTAACATTAATACCTGGAAAGATACTGGAAAAGATAAAAGCCAGCACGGATTTGTAAAAAATCAGGCCAAATGAATCTTATTTCATTCTTTGACAAAGTGACCAAATTAGTAGACCAGCAAAGTGCTGTGGACATAGTACATTTAGACTTCAGTAAGGCATTCAACAAAGTACAACCTAGGTAAGCTATATATGTAGACTAGGCATCATCATCACCAAATGGCTGTAACTGGCTGACAAACCGTACGTAACAAGTAGTCCTTAAGGTACTACATCTACATGGATGAATATAAGCTGTGGGGTACCACAAAGTTCCATCTTAGGCCCCGTATTCTTCAATATCTTCATAAATGACTTAGATGAGGGAATAGAAGGGGAACTCATCAGATTTATAGATGACACTAAGTTGGCAGGTAGTCAACATCCAAGAAGACAAGCTCAGAATCTAAAAAGATGTTGACAGACTTGAGCAATGGGCGCTATGCAACAATATGAAATTTAATGTGAGGAAAAGCAAGGTTTTAGATAGGAAAAACCAAAGTACATATAGATTAGGGGAAACCTAGCTCAAAAACCTAATTGTGAGTGGGAATTTGGAGTCCTAGTGGACAATCACTTAAACATGAACAAGCAGTGTGCAGCAGCAGCCAAAAAGGCTAATATAATCCTGGGTTGTATAAACAGAGGTGTGGAATTAAAATCACATGAAGTATTAGAAATCCTTTATAAATCCTTAGTAAGACCAGGGCTGGAATACTGTATCCAGTTTTAATCACCACAGTACAAAAAAGATGTTAAAACTTTGGAAAAAGTACAAAAACAAGTAACTAAGATGCTAAAAGCCTGTAACAAAAACATGAAGAACAGTTGCAGGATTTGGGTATGGCTAGTCTAGAGAAAAGATGGACTAGGGGTGACATGATAGCAGTATTCCAGTATTTGAGTGGCTGCCACAAAGAAGAGGGGGTTAATTTATTTTCCAAAGCACCAGAAGGCAAGACAAGAAACAATGAATTGAAATTAATCAAGGAGAAAATCAATCTGGAATTAATCAACCTAACATTGAGAACAATTAACCAGTGGAACAGCTTACCTTCAGTTGTAGGTACTTCATCACTGGAAGTTTTTAAGCAAAGATTGGATAGCCACTTATCTAAAATGATATAGGGCCTCCTGATTGAACAGAGGGTTCAACTAGAAGACCTCCAAGGTCCCTTCAGATATATTGTGATTGGTTACCATAGCTTAATAAATTATAAAAAGTAATATAGTTAAGTTGTGATTTTGTCACAGAAGCATATTAAACTATGTAATTTCCAGATAATTTTCCAGTTTGTCTACCTTTTTAATTAATATTCAGCTAAATCTACCCTTAAATTGAACTAGTATCAGTTGTATATTAATATTCCATTATGTTTCTAAAGGTATATCAGTACATCAGAACAACTAATAACAGGGACTTCTGGCTGATGTCACGACGAGACTAGAAGCAGTGAATGGAGGTCTCCGTTCCTGTGCTGGTTTTTCCGCCATTTGTGGGCTCTGAATGGAGCCAAAAGCCGCTTTGTAGGGGTGGCGAAGCTAAGGAGAGGTGCCCAGTGAGGTTCTGGGGAACAGACCAGGTATCTAATACCTACCCTGTACTTTTTCAGTACAACAGGATTGTAATTTTTCTATTGTTCTTAACATTATATTAGGGAAGCTATTCAAATACTGCTTTAATTTCATTTATTTTAATCAAAATATAGTTGTAATGTTAATGCTATAGAGCATATTAAGATGTCAGAGTTATTATTATTATAATTACAGCAGCATTAACTTAATACACTGGGTTAACTTTTACCTGTGAACGTTTTAAATTATTAGATACTTACCAGCCCCAAAAGATTCAACTGGAACTGCAGACCTTGGCTTTTCTTTTCGTGCTTGGATTAAATGATTTACTGTTTTCCAGTCAGTGTTTAAATCCTCCATTTTTTTCTAAAAGAAAACAAATATTTAAGCCTAAAAAATGTGGCAGCTGGAGGTTTTTTGCAGCGAAAATTACTGACCTCTGGCTTTGCTCTGCTTTTCAAACATGCTGCTGTGGCTGCATTCTAGGCGCTGGCCCCACAGGTTCACCCCTTTGAGCCCACTGCACCAGAGGGACTTGCCCAAGCAAGTCTGAGCAGAGTGGTGCAGCAGTCAATGGGATGAGCCTGCATGGCTGGTGCTTAGAATGCGGCGGTGGTGACGCATTGGAGAAACAAAGCAAAGCTGGACTCCAGTTTTACTGAAAAAAACATACAGCATCTGGATGTTTTTTGGAGCGAAAATTACCAACCTCTGGCTTTGCTTGCTCCACTTCTCCAATGCGCTGCTGTGGCTGTCAGTGATTGTTGCGCATGCGCACAATGTCATGCATTCGCAATAAGGATTGACTGGGCAGGGAACAGAGGAGCGGGCAAAGAGGAGCAGGGCCAGCCAGGGGCCCGTTTTACCGGTTCTCCAAACTACCAAGAATCATAACAACAGGTTCTACCGAACTGGTCCGAACCAGTAGAATCCCACCCGATACTATTATTGTCTCTTTCACTTCTTCATCTTCCATCTTAATATTTAATAAATAGCTATTTATTTTCTTTATTAATTTTTCATCTGTCCCTGTTAACAAATGATCTATTTCTGTTAGTTCTTTATGGAAACCATACATTATGACATCCTTCTCATATCTAGATTGTATCTGCAGATACGACCCCCATGTTATCTCAATCCCTTGATCACTCAGTTCCTGTTTGTTTTAAGTTCCCTCTTCATTCAAAATATCTTGATATCTGGTAATATTCTGCATATCAATAACATTTTGGTAAATCAATGCTTCCATTGTGGAGAACTAGACTGGTATTTTCAAATAGTGTTGTTCTTTAATTTTCTCCCATACTAATAATAGTGCATTCCTAATATAATGTCTTCGGAAATAGCTTTGTATTTTATTTTTTCCATACCATAAAAAAACATGCCAACCCAGTTGGAGATCATGTCCCTCCAAGGTCAATAGTCTTTTGTTCCTCAAGCCAATCCATTCTTTCACCCAAGTAAGTATCGAAGCCTCATAGTACAATTCCCAATCTTCTTTAATCATTACACACCTTGCCATTAATTGGATTCCTAAATATTTAGCTTTCTTAGCTATCTGTATTCCTATCTTCCTTGTTAGTGTTTTTTTCTGGGTATCTGTAATATTTTTGATTAATATTTTAGTTTTATCTTTATTTTCAATTCTGCAACTTCCCCATATTCTTCTATTTTTTAAATTAATTTAAGTCCAATTTCTTATGGATCCTCCAGAATAAAAACCAATTCATCTGTAAATACCTGTAACTTATACTCTTTCTTTCTTATCTCCATACCTTTAATTTCTTTATCTGGTCTAATATTTCTATTTAACACTTCCAATGTTAATATAAATAGTAAATAGTATAGGTTATAAGTTAATCCCCTAATATATGCCTTAGCAGTATCCCATACATTTCACAAGTTTCACAAGAAAGTTTTACAAGTTTATTTCCTATTCTCTTTGTGGAAAAAAAGTCAATTTCTCTTTCCATAGTTTGTATAAATTCCTTATCTTTTAATATTGATTGATTCATTGCCCATCTCCATTTTTTCTTTTGTCCTTTCCAATTAACTCTCACTGGATTGTGATCTGCCCAAACACTTGCCTCTGTTTCTATTTCTTGAACATTTGACTTTAACTCCGGTAACATCTATAAGATTTATCTCCCTTCATACATCTTGAATACCTATTTCTTCCACCATTTTGAAAAAAAGTCTTTGGAAGTGTTTTTCTAGCTTTTTTGCTTATTTTACTGCTTTTATCATCAAGTTCTACCTCTACAATTATGTCAAAGTCTCCTACCACACAAATATTTTCATATTCCAATTCTGTATTTTTTGTGTGTAATTTTTCATAAAAATTTTCTTGTTTATTATTTGGTGCATATATTGCTACTAAAAGTATCCGCATATAGTTACCTCCACTGTTGTTACCTCCACCATCAAAATTCTCCTCTCTTCATCTGGAAAGATTTGTCTAGCATTTGTTTCTTTACTATATAAGGCCACACCTCTTTTCTTTTGCTGTGCTAGTGAAACATATAATTTCACAATTTTAGAATATTCCAATAGTTTATTATATTGCTTTTTTAATGTGGACCTCTTGAAGACAAATTAAATCTAGCTTTAGTTTTTGAATTTGTTAAAAGTCCTTTTCCTTTTCATAGGAGAATTCAGTCCATTTATGTTACTTGACAATAATTATATTTTTCTTCCAAACTTTTACTTGTAGCTAGCTCTTGTTCTAGTCACTCTTTTCTCTCTCTGATCTTTTATCTTTGTACCTACTCATTCTGCTCTTTCCTTTAGCTCTGTTTCATCTTTTTGTTGTGCATTCCCTCCTCTTGATGCTTCCTCTTGTTTTTTATCATCTACTTTCTCTCTCTTTCTTTTTTCCTCATATGATCCAAATTGCTCATCATTGCTCTGATTTCTTTATGCTATCCAGTCTATATCTTTGTTCCATTCAGGTCACTAGTATTCCCTTGGGTATCGCCATCTGAAATTTACTTCATGTTTAATTAACTGTGTTGTCAAAAATTGGTATTGTTTTCTCATATCTCTTACTCTTCTAGGGATCTGTTTCAAAACTACTATTTCTCTCCCTTTGTATTTCAATGGGTCATCTCTTGCTCTTTGAAGTATTTCCATTCCTATTGCCTTCTTAGTAAATCTCACATGTACTTCTCTGGGAGGTTTATTTCTTGATGCAAATCTTGTATATACTCTAAATATTTCATCCATCTCAGACAGCATCTCCTGCTTGTCTATCTCCAGAGCCTTTGCCAATAATTCTGCCATTATCTCTGCAAGGTTTTCTCCTTTCTCTTCTTCGATATTCTGGAACCTCAAGAAGTATTCAGCTTTATCCATCTCCAATGTAATTGCTATTATTATCCATATTTTCTACTCTTTTCTCTGCTTGTTCTGATTTCTCTTCTATTTTCTGGATCTGTTGTTCATTTTTAGTTATTATTTGTTGAATATTTTCCATTTTATCATCCATCTTTTCCATTCTTTCCTTCATATCTTCAAAAAAAATTTATTGTAGCTTCTTGAACTGTTTGAAGCATTAATTTTAATTCCGCTACATCGTGTTCACTTTTTCCTGCTGTAATATGCTATCCAAAGATTTTTAACTTGCTGAACTGGATGCTGCAGCTGCTGCAGATGCAGATGCATTTTCCCCCTCATTTACTTAAATTTGAAGTGCTAGTAATTTTGAATGTTCTTAAAATCTTCAAGATAGCTCAACCATTATTCCAACATTTCCTCAAGCTCCCACCAATTTCTTTTTTTCAGTCTCCAAGTATTTCCACACTTTCTATTATTGTAAGCCAACAAAAAAGATTGCTTGTTGTCTTCAGTGTCTTTGAACACTAATCTTTTCTTCTCTTGTAATCCACTTAGGCCCACCAAGCCCCAAAGTTCAATCACACAGACTCATAAGTCTCCAGTAGGGAAGATCAAAAAGCCAGGAGAAGGAAAAGAAAAGATAAGCAAAACTTCCTTGCTATTTCTGTTTACTTTGTCTGTTTAGTTTTCATATAAGTCCAAGAGCTACACTTTTAAAAGATTACAGTGTTCCACTCTCTGTCTCTGCTGTCCCATACAGTTTGATGGAGCAGGTGTTATTTGTAAAAAAGCAAGCTTATCTTCAACAGACTTTCAAGGTCATGCTTTCACAACTTTCACTTCTCTGTGTTTTCTCCACAGAAAACATTGTCACTGTTGTTCTATTTCTCTCCTTTCTCTCTCATTAGCTTCAATTATATTATCTGATCCAAAGCATTTCAAAAGTACCAGGGGTCAAAATTCATATTCCAAAAAGTTTTCAATATAGTTTATTATGTAGTTAGAGTCCCCAGTCTGACTTTCTTAGCTTTTAAACTTCTTTCTCTTTCTGGACAAATCGCTTTTCTCTATTTCCAGTTTTATAAATAGCTCTCAAGCTTGTTTGCCGCTATTCTTGGAGGGTGGAAAACAAACAATTCCACCTCCTCTTCTATGAGTCCTACTTTCACCAAACTTACTTTAGGGGAAAAGGTTATTCAAGTTAGAAAAGTCTCACCCAAATCAATCACACTGTTCCTCAATTTCTATGCTTCTTCTTTGACCAGCTGCCACAGTTTCGGTCAGGCATGCAATGGCCATCTTTTTCTTCCCGCTGGCTTGAGAGCTTCCTCCAGATCAAACAAGGAGTTTGCTATCTCCTTGTGATTGACAGAGTGTCCTCTCTATTTTCATCACTCCTCCAGGGTAACTTGGAACCTCCTAGCAGGTTGAATTCAGAGTGATCCCGTGGAGCTCCGTGGATGTTGCAGTGATGTCAGCCCCACCTCCAGAAAGCATGCAGACTTTTGTCAAGTTTGATAATATTAGAGTGGAACAGAAGGGCCACAATAAATAAATACATTTGGCAATAGTTGTGGTATAAAAATATAACCTTTACTTTTCCCCCTTTCCATATAAAGTCCACTAACTGTTTCTGTTTATTGGCATATGAAGAAATTTAGGACGGAAAAGATAAATATAAATAGAAAGGACATCTCTTTTCCTTCCTAAATTCCCTAATATTCCCTAATTCCCTAATAAATGGAATTCTTTCCTATTTCTTTCACATAGTATCCACAGAGTATATATATCACTTTTTTTGTCTTCTGTGATGCTCATATTATAGAATTTTACTTTACTTTTGACCCACCAAAGTCAAACAAGTTTTTAAGAAATTAATAAATAATTTTACTGAAAGCATAATTTTTATTTCTTTGTAGTGTCACGGGCTCTGAATTTTTAATAGTTTCAAACAGATCACATCAAGGACAAGTATAATCTATCATGCAGTAATGAGTATTACTAAGATTGTTTCGTTACCATTACTAGTTGAGTAGCTGGTTTTTCTTTATATAAATGACGCCCTTTAGACAGAATTCCTTCCACATCTGGCTGTTTACATTTTACAGTTGCTTCAATTCCCTGAAAAAACAAAAACAAAAGTAGTGCAGATTAGCTGTATTCTGAACAATTAAAAAAAGCATAGTTTGAAATTCCCCAAGATGTTGTATTCTGGATAGATTAGTTTCTTGTTATAAGTAGTAATAAAAAGTGTTTAGCAAAAAGATTTTTTTAAAAAAAACTGAAGCAACAACAGTCCCTATGTCTCAGTGACTGAATGTTACAGAATTAAATCAAAATAAAATTCATACATGAAATAAGATATATTTTAAAAAATATTGCATAAAGCAGACTTTTCAGAGATGACCGAAGACTCTTACATCAACTAATATTTTCTTAGCTAAAAACATATCATTTTTAATAATTTTTTTAAATTTTTTATTTGTTTTACTAATATAATATTTGAACGGTGTGTTGTCTGGGTACAATTATTTTTAGGCAATTATAATCAAGGTGTTTACAATAACATGCATCACAATAACATTAATACTGTAGTAACAATATTTTGTTTGTCCATTTTAACAAATTTCCATTTTAACACTTAGCCTTTTTGTCCCTTTTTTTCTAACTTCTGTTTTTATTGTCTAGCCATCGATAAAATAAGTCCCATGTCAAAAAGTATTTAGTTTCTTCTTTGTTCTTAATAGAAAGCTATCCATTTTTGCACATTCTAATATTTTCTTAATTACCTTCCCATCTGTCGTGATCTTATCACACGAGCATATACAATTCTAGCTGCAGTTAGTACATGTAAAATCAAGTATATAGTCTCTTTATCATACTTTTCTGGTAGAATGCCCAATAGAAATATTTCTGGATTCTGGAAGAAATCCCGGAAGAGCTTATTAATCAATATCTTAAAGGGAAAAATCTACCAGAAATAACTGATGAAGAAAAAGACATTTAAAATGATAAAATTTCTATAAAAGAAATTAGAAATGCAATTGGGAAATAGAAAATAAATAAGCCCCCTGGCCCCCTGGGTGAGGCAAGGATGTCCCCTGGCCCCATTGTTGTACATATTAGCAGAAGAGGTATTATTGACACAAATACGACAGAACCGAGATATCAAAGGACTAAATATTAAAAAAGAGGAGTGTAAACTCCAAGCCTTCACCAACAATATGGTATTCATAATGGAAGACCCAAAAGAAATAAGCACCATACTAATGAATGAAATAGAAGAATTTGGAAAGGTGGCTGGGCTGAAAATTAATAGAGAAAAAACCAAATTAATAAAAAACTGCACAAAAAAAAACAACAAAATGAAGAATTAGCAAACACATTAGCTGTGCAGGTAGTAAATAAAGTAAGATATCTCAGGATCTGGTTGACAGCTAAGGGTTCCTCAATCAAAAAGGATAATTATAATAAATTGATAACTCAAATATTAAAAGATTTAGATAATTGGGCCAGGATACAACTGTCCTTGTTAGGGCGGATTGCAATAATAAAGATGAATGTCTTACCAACGTTGCTATTCCTGTTCCAGACGGTGCCAGTCAAGTTAGGGGAAAAAATTCTTTAAAGATTTAAACAAACAAATTTCAAAATTTATATGGCAGAAGAAAAAAGCCAGGATAAAATACAAATTATTACAAGATACTAGAAAGAAAGAAGGTTTTGGTCTTCCAGAGTTTGAATTATATTATCAGGTGGCAATAGCCACATGGTTTAAAGATTGGATCAATTTGACAAATAGAAGGATACTAACTTTAGAGGGTTTTAACCTACAACTTGGCAGGCATGCGTTTATCTGGGATGGAAAGAGTAAATACCACTCATACTTTCAAAGACATTGGGTGAGAGATGCCTTGTTAAATACATGGGAAAAAATAAAAAGGAATCATTATGTAAAGGTGCCATTATGATTATCAACAATAGAAGCAGTAATACATCCCAATGTTCTGGATTGTACCAAAATGATAAACTATAGTGATTTGCTAAATGAAAAAGAGGAATTAAAAACTAGGAACCAATTACAACTTCAGGGAACTGAGATAGGATGGTGGCCCTATCTGCAAGTGCAAGCACATTATAGTAAGAATAAACAACTATTTGGCTTTTACACAACCCAGAAAGACTTAGATAAAATATGGAAGGGGGAAGGGGGAAAAATCAGTAAAATTTACAAGTATCTATTGGATTATAAAATGAAGGAGGAAACCATCAAAGAATGCATGATAATTTGGGCTAAAAATGTGTGCCATACTATTAACTTAGACCAGTGGGAACATAATTGGCAGATAAACTATAGATTAACAATGTTGGTCTCTTACAAAGAGAACTTATATAAAATGTTCCATTACTGGCACTTATCGCCAGTAATATTCCCTAACATGACACCAATATTTTTTAACTTGTGGACATGTCCATCACATATGGTAATATGAACCAGATGTTTGATTTCATTCCAACATTAGGATGTATCAATGCTTCCATTTTGGAAAGCATGCCAACCTATTGAAGGTCATGCCCTTCTAAATTTAATAGTTTTTTACATCTCAAATTAATCCATTTTTTTCACCCAAGTTAATAGCAAGGCCTGGTAGTACAGTTCCCAACCCGGCAGTCCAAAGCCCCCTCTTTTTTTGGAGTCTTGCAGCATTTTCAAACCTATTCTTGCTTTCTTCTCTGACCAAATATATATTAATATTATCTTATTTAATTACTCAAAATATTTCCCTCCACACTTTTATTGGAATTGTTTGAAATAGGTATAATAGCCTTGGAAGAATATTCATTTTTATAGAAGCTATTCTTCCTGTTAATGACAGTTACAAATCTTTCCATTTCTCCATGTCTAATTTAATTTGTTGCATCAGTTTCATATAATTATCCTCTTTAATTGTTACACATTTTGCTGTTAACTGTATTCCTAAATACTTCACTTTTTTTACTATCTGCATATTAATTCTTTCCATCAACACTCTTTTTTGTGTATCTTTAACCAAAATCTTTATGTTGTCTTTGTTTATTTTTAATCCAACAACTTCCCATACTATTCTATCTTTTTAATTAGCTTCGGTCTAGTTTCCAATGGGTCTTTGTCAGGCTACAGAACTTTTCCCATTCAATCAACTAGAATGAACTTCTGAAGACGTATCAAAACGTATCAAAAGGAATCCTTTATTGAGATGAGACAATTCATGTAGGGGTCAAAAGTAGTGTCTAAGGTCTCTCAGGCATGCAAAGATAGATAAGGGAGTTTAAAACCCCTCCCCTTATCCTGATGTGTATTTAGTAAAACAAAGAGCCAACATGTTAATTCCCCCCACCCCCTTTTTAGAACGATCTTTTTCAGAGTTTCCCAGGACACATCTCACTGTGGAATTTTTATGGTCTCTTCATCTCCTGGCTGTCTCTCTCAAAGGTGATAGGTTCCGGCCATCTGTGTTTCATCTCTCCATTGTATCATGTGTAGGTTATACAAATTCGATATAAGATTAAATATATTCAGGTTACATCAAGAAGGATTTCTTTATCAGTCTCCCCCTCTTTTCTTCTTCCATTGAAGAAATGACAGATACACGGATCTGACAGTCTTCTAATATAAAGACCAGGTTGTTTGCAACTGCCTGTAGCTTGTAGTTTCCTTTTTTATTTCCATTCCTTTTAGTTCTTCATCTCGTCAAATATTTCTGGCTAATAGTCAGTATAAATAGTCAGTATAAATAGCAGAGGGAACAATGGACATCCCTGCCTAGTGCCTTTTTATATCAAAATTTTCCATCATGTCTCCATTTACCATTAGTATATTGCTTTAAACATATTAATAAAACTCTCCCTAAAGTCCATATATTTTAGTTGTAATAGCATAAATTGCAAATTAATGTTATCAAATTCTTTCTGTGCATCTAAAAAGATCAACGCCATTTGTTTTCCAGGATGTGTTTCGTAGTACTCCAGTGTATTCAAAATCATTCTCATATTGTTTTTAATCTGTCTCTTTGGAAAGAATCCATTCTGATCTGGATGTATAAATTCATTCAGAAACCTTTTTAATCTCTCTGCTATTATCAAAGCGTAAATTTTATAGTCTGCATTCAATAAAGATATTGGCCTATAGTTCTTTATCTGCATTAAATCTGAACCATCTTTTGGAATAAGATTAATATTTGCTTCCATCCATGAGTTAGGTATTTTTGCTTCTAGCAGAATTTCATTATAAACTTCCAACATCACGGGCTTAATATACCTTGTAACTTTTTATAAAGTTCTGCTGGTAACCCATCAGGCCCTGGTGTTTTATTACTGTTTTGTCTCTTAATTGGTTTTGTCAATTCCATCACAGTTATTATTTCATTCAACATGACTCTAACAGTTTCAGGTACTTTAGGAAGTTCAGATTGTTCCAAATATAGTTGTATTTTATTTTCTGATATTTTCTCCTCATCATACAGTTTCCGATAACACTCTTTTATTATATTTTTTTCCTCATTTTGGTAATGAAGAATCCTTTACTCATCTATTAATTGATGCATTATTTTTCCCTTCTCCTTTTTCAGTTTATATGCCAACCATCTTCCTGGTTTATTCGCATTTTCAAAAAAGTTTGGTTTACATTTTAATTTTTTTGTGCCAATTCATCTTTTTCCAACAGATTCATTTTGTGTTTTAGTAAATCCATTTGATTTTTTAGTTTCTTTTTTATGGTTCTCTCTGTAATTCTGTTTCTAATTTTTTGTATTCTTTCTCTAATATTTTCTTATTTTGTTTTTTATTTTTATTTTGTTCCCCATGTAAGTTATGACTATTCCCTGAATATACACTTTAACAGTATCCCATCAGTTTGCAATGAAGTCTCTCCTTTCCTATTCTCTTTGGAAAAAAAGTCCAATTCTTTTTCCATATTTTGTATGAATTCTTTATCTTGCAATATTGTTTGATTCAACATCCATCTCAATTTTCTTTTTTGTCCTTTCCATATAACTTTTATCAGATTGTGATCTGCCCATACATTAGGTTCTATTCTTATCTCTTATAAAAATATTCTTAATTCTGAGGACATCCATGCCATTTCTATTCTGGACCAGGATTTATGCCTATTTGAATAGAATGAATACTGATTTTTGTTGGGGTGCACTTCTCTCCACACCTTGAATTTCTATTTCTTCTGTCATTTTAAAAAAGGATTTGGGGAATGTTTTTCTAATCTTTTTGCCCATTTTAACTACTCTTATAGTCAAGTTCTATATCTACAATTGTGTTAAAGTCTCCTACCATACAGGTATTTTCATATTCCAATTCTATAATTTTCTCATGAAGTTTCCCATCTTGTTTGTTATTAGGCGCATTTATCACTATTAATAATATCTGTTTTTGGTTCCTTGTTATCTCCACCATCAATATTCTCCCATCCTCAACTGCAAAATTTGTCTTTATTGCTTCTTTAATATATAAAACCAGCCTCGTTTTCTTCTGCTGTGCTAATGCAAAATATAGTTTCCCAATTTTGGGGTACTCCAGTACTTTACTATATTGTTTTTAATATGTACCACAAATTAAATATAATTTCAATTTTCCTAATTTATTAAAAATTCTTTTCCTTTTTATAGATGAGTTCAGTCCATTTATGTTAATTGATAATAGGTTGATCTCTTCTTCCATTTTTTACTTGTAAATAGGTTTTGTTATTCTAGTTGATCTTATTTCTTTCTGTTCTTTCTGTCTTGCACCTTCTCATTCCCCTCTCTCTTTTAGTTCTGTTTCAGTTTCATCCTGTTGTGTGCTTTCCTCTACTGTCACTTCCTCTTGTTTTTTGCCATCTATTTCCTCCCTTCTCTCTTCTGTCTCATATAGTGTGAGATACTGGTTATAGAATTGTTCTGCTTTGCCTATTGTGTCTAATCTATGTCTTTTTTCCATCCAAGTCACCAATATTCCCTCTGATATCAGCCATCTGAAATTTACATCATAATTTGGGACATATGGTATGAGTGGCTAGAGGAGAAAAGTAAAGAATATGTATAAAATTACTTAAGAGTTGCAGGAAATGTATATAAAAGGAATTATAAAAAGGTAAATATAAATGTACAAATATTAGAGAAATATACCAGGAATTGAAAATGAAAATGAAAGTATTACTATGTAAATAGGAAAGAAACTGACACTGATGTACGGTCAAAAATGTGGTGTAAATGTTTGAAAAATGTGTAATAAAGATTAATAATAAAAAATGAAATAACCAAATAATACAAATGGATAATTACATAACATTTAAATAACTAAACAACTATTTATGACTGCATCATTGTGTCTCGTACTACTTTTTAAATAAAGAAAACAATTGATTTTGATGTGAATTTCACAATGTATAGATAAATATTTAGAAAAACATCCAAATTAAATATTACCTTAATGTCAAAAGTTCCAGGCTGATCCACTTGATTGTATAGTACTAACTGATCCTTGATGGGAGTAAGCCACAATCTTAGCTGAGTTAACTGTTGTTCAAATTGATTCAAGTTATTTAACATACATTCAATTTCTTTCTCTTTCTCAGGCAGATCTTTGGATACCTTTAAAATATCAGAAATTCATACGTAAGATAAAACTGTAACTCAGTCATACAATATAGCAACATTGTAATTGTTTTACTATATATAGTATTATAGTATAGTATGTATGTATGTATACATAGGAGTATGCGCTTTATTATTATTTACATAAACACACACTGATCCATCTATTTTAGATGATGTGATAACTAAGATACCATAAGCGAGTGGGAGAAGAAGTTTACAGGTAACCCATGATTAATGATCATTCATTCAGTAACCATTTGAAATTGTAATGGCACTGAATATGGACTTATGGCCAGTTCTTGAAATTGAACTGCACAGCTGGTCCAAAAGATACCATAGCCAATGGTATTAAAGGCTGCTGAGAAATCAGAAGAGCAAGGATGATTGCACTACCCCCACTTTGTTCTTATCAGAGATCATCCACAAGTGTGTCCAATGCTGTTTCTGTCCCATAACCAAGCTTGAATCCTGACTGAAAGGGGTCCAGATAATCCATTTCATCTAAAAACCCTCTGGGGCTGCCAAACAATCACTTTTTGAAGAATGGCTGCAGAATTTGGATTTGGCTAGTCTAAAGAGAAGAAGAATTAGGAGGACATGATAGTAGTATTTCAGTACTTGAGGGGCTGCCACAGAGAAGAGGGGGTCAAATTATTCTCCAAAGCACAGAGGGCAGGACAAGAAACAATGGCTGGAAACTAATCAAAGAGAAAAGTAACCTGGAATTAAGTAGAAACTTCCTAACAGTGAGGATGATTAACCAGTGGAACAGCTTGCCTCCAGAAATTGTGAGTGCTCCATCACTGGATGTTTTTAGGAAAAGTCTAGACAGTCACTTATCGGAAATAGTATAGGTTCTCCTGCTTGAGCAGGGGACTGGAAGACCTCCAAGGTCCCTTCCAGCTCATTCTATTCTATAAAAAATAATCTTCCCTAAAATAAAAAAAGGAAGACTGGACTAACATTGTTTTTTTATCTGTAGTCTTTTATTTTTTTAGGTTTTACAAGATAAACATTCCATGTAGTTTTTATAGATTGGTTTTTTAATTTTCATTTCATGACTTGCTCATTTAATCACTTAATTTCTGTGAATAGGCTTTACTCTACAAATTTATTAATAATTTTTTCAGTTCATAATATTCATTGGAAGAAGGTGATGTAAAGACCAACATCAAATTTACATAAATAAATTTCAAAATGACTTTCAAATGCTGTCTTTCTAAAATGCAGGATACTAGGTATGACAGGTGCAACTGTGCTTGGATGTCATCATTATTTATTTATTATTACTGGTCATATATCTCTCCAATCAACACAGAGAAAAAAAGCCTAGAGGTTTATTATTTTAGTTGCAGTTTGCAATCTTTTCAGCTGATGGCTTATGATCTCTATAGCACTCTTCACTATGACAGTTTGGCATATAGGTTAAACAGTAAAGCATATTGAATACCTAATCCTAACTTGCTTTTAAGGTGAAAGACTGAGTATTCAGTATTCTGACTATTCAGACAGTTAAGATATCCACTGTCTGCCCCATACCAGTCCTAATTATTTACCATGAATTTTACACGGGAGAAAACTCGAATAACCAAAGAGATATAGATATAGATGTAGATGTAGATGTAGATGTATATAATAAATGCTTATTTAATTATAACAAAATTGTAAATGCTTAATCATAACTGTGGGGCAGAGTGAAGGGAAAGGAGGGGCCTCTCTCATCCTTTGGGAGGAAAGAGGTTTTAATACTGCTGGGATTCAAAAGAAGCCACATGGTGCCAGGAGGCTGGGAATATCTGGACGGGGAGGAACTGGCTCCCTCTCAAACGGAAGAAAAGCAGAGCTCCCCCCCCCAATCTGGTCTCCTGTCATCTCATATCTCCCCCAAGCCAGGTGTGGCTACCTGGAGTTGGGGGAGAGAACGAGGGCCGGGCTGGAAGTGCCAAGGAAGACAGGCTCCTAATAACCAGGGAACACCCCCCCTTCAGCCTCCACATAAGAAGAGGACTCCCCGAGGCTAAGCTACAGATTTCTTCCGGCACTTTCAAGCAGAGAAGGGTCCCTCCCTGTGTGGATGTCGAAGGGATATGTGTCAAGGCCAGAAACGCTGCAGCTCTCGCCTGCACAAACAGGCTGGTTATTAGGAGCCTGTCTTCCTCAGCACTCTTTTGGTCTGGGCATTTGGTCTCCCTCTGACCTCATGCCAAAGAAAGCCAGCTGGGCTTCTCCTTCTCTCGTACCCTTCCCCCTGCTCCCTTCCCCCCACTAAATCCTACTTCAGGACAGAGGAGAGAGCGCTGGTGTTGGCATTTCCAATATGCATTTCTTTAACGCTCGCCTGCAATTCTTCACAATCCTCCAGACCTGGCTTGCTGAGGGGGGAGAGCAGCCCTGACATCTCTGCTGCCCCCCCCCCCCAGGAAAAGAAAGTGAGCAGAAACATAGCTCTCGCTGGGGTGAAAGAGCGGAGATCAGAAGGCACAGGCAACAGAAAGCAGCACTTTTCAAAGACGGCAGCTTCTGTCTTCTTGTGCCTGTGCCTTCCTTGACCTTTGCTCTTTCACCCCAGCATAAGCTATATTTTTGCTCACTTTTCCTGTGCTTTCTCCAGGCAGCAATGGCTGGGGCCATGGGGGGCAGCAGAGTAGAGTACCAACAGGGATAAGAAAACTGATGCCGCCCCCGCTGCCCCATTCTGGACCTCTGAACTGGATAGTGAGCACAAACTTGCCCACTCTGCCCCTTCCCACTACCACCACCAGCTGGTACTTTTCCTTGCTTAGTTTTCAGCTCACCTTTATCATTTAAAATATCTTCATATCTAACAATATTTCCCATATTAATAATATTTGGATGAATAAGTGCTTCCATTGTCGAAAGCCAAACTGGAATTTTCAAGTAGTGTTATTCTTTGATTTTCTCCCATGTTAACAATAAAGTGTTTCTTATATAATGTATTTGAAAGTAACCATTTATCTTATTTTTCCCATACCATAGAAAAGCTTGCCAATCCAAACTTCTGGTGGCAATCTTGTCGACGATGAATCAGATACCACGATCGTGTGCCACTTTGATCCATGCTTACCCTGTTGGAGGGGTCCTTAAAGGACCGGATCCATCTGACCCACCTCGTAGGGGTAGGGGAAGAGGAGAAGACTGCCAGCTGGGTTGAGGGGAGCTGCATCTCCCCTCCCTGGCTTGGTAAACATACCTAGAAGACAGGGAGAAGCGGCAGTCTTTAATGGCTGCCCTGAAGACAGGAAGCTGCAGGGACACAAGTTTTGTGCTGGAGTGTGAAAGTGGGGAGTGGCAAGGAACTGAATAAAAGACTTTGAACATTCTTTTTGAAAACCCAAAAAAGCAGAAAGAAGGAGCTCTTGTTTGGAAGAGTGGTAGCAGCGAACAAAAAATAAGAGGAAAATATAAGGTAAAGAAAAAACCAGAAATAAAAGAATTATATATAATTAGAGACTAAATTTGGAACAACATACAGAACTGGACATTAATCAGGCATTAGATAAAATGCTGGACTTATTTGGAATTGATAAAATTTAATATTAATACTACGGAAAAGTGATTAAAATAAAAGAATTCTAAGAAGAAAGTGATATAGAACACCACCTAAGGGTTAAAGATTTCCTTCTTTTATGTTTCTATGGAAAATTATTGGTTGTATAAACAAGATCCCCAGAAGTTTATAAAAAAGAAGTGGGAGTTACAGTAAAATATAAAAGAATGCAATACTTTGGGATTGTTGAAGGTTGATTGTGACAAAAAAACAGAAGAGAAAGTAAGATAAATGGAGACTTTTGACAAGGACTATAACAGAAAAACTTGACCTTTAATAAAATAAAGAATAACTTAATAGACCAAAGAAATGGAAGAAATAAGCAAAGAATTTAAGTCGGAGCTCCAAACTGTGAGAGAGATGTTTAAAGAAAAAATGAGACTGGTGGAGATAATGCTAAATAAAGCAATGGTGTCACAGCTCGCAGAAGAACAAAGGAAGCTCAGAGAGGACAAATTAAAAGAGGAAAATAACAGCCTTGATGAATATGAAGAACACGGACCATTGTCAAAAGATATAAAAGGACTTAAAACTGAGACACTGACAACAGAGACAGCAAATAAAAGAGATAAGACACCCAAGATCAAGAAGAAGAAGGGAATATACAAGAAGAAACTCCAAAAAAGAGAATTGAAAAGAGGGGTGAAAACATGGCTGACAGGCAGAGGGAAATAAAAATAAAACCAGAAGGAAAAAAGAAGAAAGATTGGGGAAATTTAGAAAAGGGAAACCTAGCCAAAATTAAAAGGAATAATAAAGTTACGAGATTTAGAGATAAGGGTTAGGGATTGTACAAGGGGGATATCACATGGGAATGTATATTGGCATTTAGTTTAAAACTCGCTGGAAATTATTTTAGGATTATATAACTATATATATAACTATATATATAACTATATATATAACTATATATATAA